AATAAACTAGAAGAGGAAAAACTGATTCTTAACCTCAGATGTAATTTGCTGTGTGAGTTCTGGCAATTTTAAATGACATTGCACTTTTTAATTTTTCCAAAGGCTCAGCAGCAAATTTATCCCAATCAAGGAAGCCTATTATTAATTTACAAGGACAATTGTAGGAGTCTTTATAATTTCCCTGTGCAATTATTTGCCATAAATTGCTAATAGTGAAATACATGAAGTTTGCAAGAAACAGCAACTGCTATTTATCTAGACGGATCACTCAGCCCAGATCTTGAATGTTGTCCAGAGGTTCTAGTGCTATTGACAGCATAAGAAATATAACCGAGCTTCTGGATGGTTTCTAAAATGTTTCACACTGATAGTACCAAAAAGGTAGAAGCATTAAGAGCTATTGTGAAGGGTAGGCTGGCCTCTAGCAGATTCCTTCACTTTGCTTGTATACAGCTGAGCTTTGGACCCTGGACTTTGGAATAAAAAGAGTCTTTGTTCATCACTGAATGGCATTAGGCATGGGCTTCCTAAGGGGCCACCATGAAGCCTAGCATGAAGAGTGCAAACATTATCCAGAAAGCGAAATGAGAATCTGTGTGGAGAGGTGATGGACAAATATTGCTTGCTATATGTGCGTTGCTATATGCTGACGTATGTTTATATTACATATTTGGTGAATTTGCTTGCAGAGTATTCTGTACTTGGTTTTATGTACGCAGTAGATTTTGCGGATGCGTGCCTATGCTGACTATGCGCGCACATAGAGACACTGAACATGCATGTGTATGTGCTTGTGTCTGCAGCAGTCGAAACACCCCAAAAGGCAAGTTTTTAAAAATTTAAAGATCCAATCCAGGTGAAATTAAAGTTGCAGGTCACTCACTTCTGATCTCAGTTGTATATCATACAGTGCCATTCGACTGAAGATACTTTGTTAGTAAGTGAATGATGGAATGCAGAACATCTACAAATAGCACACCCTTATTGCAATAATGGAGAAAGTTCACTGGCTTAATTCTTCTGTACTTCGTAGCCATAGCTCCACTGTGTGTTCGGTATGTCTAGTCTCTTTTCACTATAACCAACAGAAGCACCATACAAAAGTCTTACAATGGATGTCTTAATCTCTCTGTGTGCTTTTAGAGCATTATTTTGAATTCCATCATGCAGGCTTTTTTTTTTTTTTTCTTTCCTCTTCTGAAGTTTTATTACAACAACAGAATTCCCAGGGAGCTTTAGGGGCAAGGTTCGCATAATATTGCCCTAAAGTTTTGCTCGAGGGGTGGAATCTGCACCCCAGTCCTGATCATCTTTTTGTGGTGTTTCTCTTTCTGAAAGATGCAGTGTGCAGTCTTACAGAGTTGTTAACTGTGTACAGATTTTTTTATTGTTTACCAGACAGTGCACATCTACGAACCTTTCATGATGATTTCTTTCTCTGACCTCTCAGTGACTAGGCATCTTGTTCCTTAACACTGAGGGAGGCTGAAAAATGCTTGAGTTGCTCAATGTGTGCCTTCTATACCAGTTTCAAAATGGCTTATTCTTCTGGTTTCCATGGTGACAATTAACACTGTTACAAGGCATTGTTCCAGTCTCCATTTGGGCAGAATTTTCGGGTGTGATTTTTCACACAAAAAATGTTTTATATAATATTTTAAAGAAAAAAAGAAAAAAAGAAAAAAGAAAGAAAAAAAGAAAAAGGGCACAGTTTGGTGTAAAGTGTCAAAAATGTGTCTCAATCAAGCCTGCCTGGATTTCTTAGAATATTTTTATCAGAGGAAGTAAGGTTTTAACTTGCTTTGTTTTGAAATTCAACTTCTTGTGGTTCTAATATTTTTGCCAAACTTATCCACGGATAAATGCTATTGCCTTTTTTTAAACTCTACTATTTGTCCTTTGAGAAATATTGATCGCATTGACTGAGAAGGAATAAAAGCCAAAATTCTTTAACTTACGTATCAATGTTTTGGATTTCTTTTGACTGGCTTCAGGAACACAAAACCAGCCATGCATGCACACAGCTAATCATGCTGTAAATATTTTGCAGTTTTTCCAATGTGTTGTTTAGGGGTTTTCCCCCCAGTTTTTTAATATGACAGGTGTTGTTGGAAATTAAATATTACTCATCTATTTATTATTGTGGTTGTTGTGAGAAACCTGTGACTTTAACTTTCTTAATCTCATTTTTGGCTATTAAACAGTAATCTATATCATAGCATCCACAGATTGTCACAATGGAGCAGCCTTTGCTGACTTAAAGCTGAGGAAAGAATGAATCTGAAGATTAAATTATCTTCTCACCGCAGGATTAAGTAGTCCTACCAGACCAGGGTTGTGCAGCACTGATAGAGCTGGTAGCTAATTTTTCCATGCAGCTGTTTAGAGTGTAGGTGTTTAATGGATTAAAAAATAGCATTAGCTATAGCATCTAGTGCTATCAGTTCTTAAACTGTACCTCCTGTACATTAAGCTCTTCCCTTAACTTAAAATACACCCTGCATGTTAAATATCCAGGCGTGAAACAATACTGACTCTGAGTCACATACCGATACATCTAATAACGATCTGAATTCTTTCATCTTTTACAGTTGCAGTATAATGCATTTTCTATCAATCAGCACCTTCATCATGCTTGTTTATACAGTAGGTTACACGGTGACAAAGACAGAGCACGTACATAAAATCTAGCTTATTTATTTTTTAATGTAATAACCTTTTATAACATCTGTCACACTATTTGGATTATGCTGCACTGAATTATTTTACCTAGTCCAAACCGAAATGAAATGTCTTCTGTTTCTGTGTAACAAGAGCATTGTAGTTAGGAAACAGGCAATGTATTTTATTTCTTCATCAGTCCTGCACCGTCCAGGAACGTACCCAGCCCGGGCAGCAGCAACCGCCAGCCTAGAACAGGTCATGAGAATTAACTAGCGGTGCCTGCACCGGTGTCACACAGCTAGAGGACTCCCTCAGTCTATTAATTCACTTGACAAAAGAAAGGGAGTCGCATGAACTGGATTTCAGTGCCTGGCAAATTGGACTCTGGATTCCCCTTGATATTACACGTACTTATGGAAATAATTATGCAAATCCTTTTCAGCTATATCATCTTTAAATAGAAATCAGATTACATAAAGAAGATTGTAATCTCCTCCAGTAACCGTTCTAGCTGAAAAGGCAATAATACGGCGGCATACTTGTTGAACATTTTACTCCAATAAAATGGTGTTGCCTCTTGGCGGATCCAGTCCCCTCCTGCCAAAGCTGGTTGATGCCTACTGCCGTACGTTTCTAAAACCTTAGCCACAGTGCAGCAAGGAGCACAAGGCAAGTTCTTTGTAAACAATTCCTTGGGTTTTACTATGCATATTCATGTAATTTTGGATACGCAGACACCTGATCAGTGTTCATTAATAATGAGAAATGGTTTAAATCACCTCATTTAAAACATTTGCTCTATGATCCACAAATGACTAATATTTGCTGAAGTTTACATAATACAAATGATGTGCATGTGTTGTGTAAATGAGAGATTAAAATATGAAACTAACAATATGCAAACATATGCATGGAAATGCTGAGGACCTGTTAGCTGAAACAGTGATTTCACACCTTTATTATTTTCTTTAAGCTGTCTCCAATTGTATTTTTGCTTTGTTTTCCTACAGAGCGTGTTCTTGGATCTGGCAAAGGCACCCATGTTTTAAACATTCCTTATTCTAGTTTAATTTTTTATACTTTGCCCAGTTATTAACATTTTCAGTATGAACTGCTATAGCAGTTTTCCTGGCTGAATTTAAAGCAAAGACAGCTTAATGTTTAGGATGCAATTTGCTAATAGCTATGCATAATTTATGTATGTCTTGTAAACACCTTTGTAAGAATGTGTGCTGAACTCTTGTCTTTCACTAAAAGGTGTGGTTTTGGCGGTATCAGAAGTTCTATTTCTATGAGGGTTTTATACATAAGAGGGAGAGGGAATTAGCTTAACTCTATGTAGGGTATGTATATGAGTGGATGCCTGTGTGTTAAATTTTATTTTTTTACTTACTGTACCAGCTACTAAAACATAATTAATCACTATAGTAACTATTATATTTAATATATAATACAGGTTTTCAAAGAATACAAGTTTTAAAGAGATTTATTCCCCAGTGTGTCTGTAGGTTAAAATATACTTTTATAGATTATGTAAGTAATATACAGTTAAAATATTTAGAAAGTCATACTAAAATAATTTTGAAAGAAGCTTCTGTTTTTCTTCCTGTTTTCTCTGTCCTTTTTTTGTTTTTTTAACAATAAATAACAGTGCAGGAAAGAAAAGGTAGTTTCAACTTGAAGGAACTATTGGACTGTATGAGCATTGTGGCTGTTCTCGTTTGTGTGCCATTTCACTGCTCCTGTTGGTTGATGCAATAAAAAATCAACTTACTGGTATTGTGTTGTGAGGGAGTTATGCCTAATTGTTTTTCTGAGGTGAAACTCTCACGTTTTCACATGTAATAGCATTTCAGGCCCGTATATGAGACAGAATCCACAATGAGAGATGAAATACATGGCACAGGAAACATAATTAGGAAATTATTTCCTTGCTGGTTTTTTTTTTTTTTTTTCAATGGAGAGCCTCAGTGTTACTTGCTGAAGTAGCATATTTGAAAAATAAGATACCGCTGACTTGAATGAGACAAAGGCAGCTCAAGCTTCAGATGAGAGAGTGTTAGTGAATATTACTGTACAAGTGAATAGTGTGAGTGAATATTGCTATATGTAATCAGTTGCTAACTGTCTGCATAGATACGTCACCCAGAAGGCTACGTGCTTGGTACCTAAATCTCTTACGATATGTCATGAGAAGTCCATGTGCTGAAAAAAAAATAAACTCAAAAAATGGCATAGTGAGCATGATCATAACTGGACACGTAGAATTAAAGTTTAATTTTTTAGAGAGAAAATGCTTTACAGTAGCTAATATTATCTATTTCTTTTCATTTTAGAGATACAATGTAGAAATGTCAATCAGGCACCCGAAAAAGATGGAACTGCTTAGTAAGGTTGAAGCTCTGAAGAAAAGTGGTGTTTTACTACCAAACGATCTCCTTGAAAAAGTGGATTCAATTAATGAAAAATGGGAACTGCTTGGGGTATTTGCATTTTTATTACTGTTTGTGGGTTATGTGTACATTTTTGTGTGTTGAAGTACGCTGTCTGTCTGATTTCTAATTTGAGGCACAAATATCTCTCTCTTTCAATTCACCACGTACATTTCAAACAAGCTACTCATGCTATTATAAAAACTCCATAGTATTTTCCTCTTCTGTTGATTTTTTTTTTATTCCATGCTTGTCTCCTGTCTGACTTTAATAATTTTAGTTCTTTAATACATAAAAAATGTAAGTAAAATATGCCATGTATTACGGGTATGCACCAAGTCAACTATAATGCAGTATATCTGATATACACTGACTGTCATGCTTGAGTGAATGTTAATAGAATTTATTCTGAAGGTACATGTTAGAGACATCTACTGTTTAACTATTTACTATACCCTTAAGATGAAAAGTGGGGTTGTCACTGCATATTTCAGGTCACACTGATGGCTCAAAAACAAATATGCAGATTCAGTACAAATCTGAATACCTGAAGCTAAGCATACAGCCAGGATATGTTTCATGCTGCTGTATTCAGCTCACTTTGACAAAAGCCAAAAAAGTTTCATGTAATTCATTTCACGCTATGATGGGCTGGGTCTCAGCCAAAGAGTGAGATACAAGAATCTGGCAAAAAAAGCAATATAGTGATTCGGTTACCCAGAGACTGGTGATGGCACCGTGCAGGAGACACTATTGTCCTATTGTTGTAAAACAGCTGAGAGAGAGAGAGGTCAAACTATATATTTTTCCATCCACTTCTCTCCTTAATTGCCTTCACTTCAAATCAAGGGTAAGATAAATTTATAAATTACTTTAAATGATTAATTATAGATGTGTGATATTAGCAATACAGTTACATTGCATAATTTTGCATGCTATTATCTGAGTTTAAAAAACATTTCTAATATATTACAAGTAAGCTATATGTGCAACCTGCCAACAGCATTTTAAATCCTGACTTGTGTCAGTTTAGCTTATTTGGTAATGCAGTAGCCACTTTACAGAGGGTGGGGCTTGCTTAGTTCAGCACAGTTGTTTCTAATCGCTTGATTTTCTGAATGTGCAAATTGTCGGAAAATGTTAAGAGTTGCCTTATGACTACTGAGCGTATTACTTTTTAATTTTAACCTGCAGCATCACCGTGAGCATTTTGAAACTATTTCAACATTAATAAATTTACTGATAAAAAGGGGGCTTAATAACCTATTCTTTTCCATCCGATCATGACAACTTAGATTTTCAAAATAATTTCAGTTGTAAGCATTACATTTATGATTTTCAATGTTAATTAATCAGGTTAATTCAGTGGTACTGATTAGAGCTGGTAGGATATAAAACTATGAGATAAGTAACTGATCATAATTCTAAAAATCTCGAAAAACTCTGTTTTAAAAAAAATTGAAGCCCTCCACTTCTCAGTATGTTAAAATCAAAATACACCTCTGGTTTAAGTTTTGGCATTAATTTCGGCATTTACAGAAAAATAAGATATAACTATTACAGTTTTTCTGCTAAATGCGATTTCATGAGTAATAAGCAGAGTTTGATAGAGTTGTGTTTAATTTCATAAAAACCTCTGCAGCAACTAACGGCACTAGGCATACTGTTTTAATTGGCATGATTACGTTTTAATTGGCATGAAAAAAAAATAAAGACAAGGATTTTAACTTCTAACAATGGTAAAATAGAGGGATATGGTTTTTAATATTACTTTCATCTAAGGTGAACAGTGTGGAATGGAAATACATTAGAATGAAATGTCAGTGGTGCGTACAGTTTAATCTGTGAAATTTTGTCCCCTGTGCTGAATATTACTCTGTCTCAATTGCATATTAAACAACCCTATCAAGGCAGGCATTGGCATCTGCTGTGCTGACACAAATTGTGAATTAAATGAAATTGATGTCCTCTGTCGTATATTTATGAAGACGGACCATTCTCTGAAGTATTCTGTTTATGAAGAATTTATGATTGCAAACTGTTCCAGAACAAAAAAGTGGCAATAAATTCTTTTTTGTGACCCTACCCTCCAAGGGCATTGATTTCACCTCCTGCTGCTACTTTTGTTACAGCATAAAAACAATAGCTAGCGCTGGATTCCACTGAGGGTCTTCAAATTATCAATATTTGCACCATGAAAATAGAAGGGTGTTGCCAAGAAAGCATGTTTTTCAGTTATGATCTCCTAAAGATGTTATTTACAGAATGCCACACAGTAGATTAATGTCTGTTAATCTAATTTTATTTGTGTTTTAAAGCTTATTTTTGGAAGCTAACTTCATTGGTATAAATTATTTTCCAGTAACTTTCTAAAGCATGTATTTTCAACAGACAGCCATACTGGGTCACCTAAAAATGTATCTTCATGTTACAACAATTAACCACTGCTAATTATCAGTTTAAAAGGTTATTGGATGTGATTGTCAGTGTATATTCAATATTCTACAATCAGTAACACAGATCTAGTGCTTATAATAAGTGTCAGCCTGACAGCCTCTTATAGGTCAGATAAAATACTGCTTGCCATAGAAGAAGCAGGCAAGAGCATATCTCCCTTGTGATGTTAAAAGATTGCCTTTCAAAATAATGAAAAGGAAGGTAACTTTCTATCCCTGGCCTCTTCAGAATATTCATTATGCTCACAGCGTCCACTATCAAAATGTTATTCAGTGGTTCTTTTATTAGAAATACTACTTTGAAAAGCCGGAGTAAATTAGTTTCATTAGCCATCAGAGGTGAATGTTTATTCTGGGCCATTATTTTTAAAGTGGATGCTTAACATGGAGAACTTAAATCCGAATTTAGTTGCCTAAATAATTGGCCTGATGTTCAGGAACATTGAGGCTTTGCAATTTCTAGTTTATCGGCATGTGAATGCGTTCATCCACTTTTAAAAGCAAACCAGCTGTTTTCTGACCTAACTGCTCCTGTATACAACCTCACCTGTATACAGATCGTACCTCAAAAAATATTTCAGTATTTCAGTGTTTTACCAAAAACTTAGACGGTACCTTGGATAAGAGGTTAGTGACCTCAGTGCTTGTCATCTTTTCCGTTGCTGCCTAGAAACCGCTAACTCTCATGGTCATAAGCATCTAAAGCCACGGATAAATTCTGTAGAGTAAGTACTTGAAAAAGTTGTGTACAATTTTGTCTCCTCTGTCCATAGTTGCTCTTAATAAACATTGATTTATCATGCTTCCAGCAAAGTCAGTGACCCAGAGAGAACAGCATAAGTGAGAAACAAGGATACAAAAAATCAAATTGATTGAAACAAGGAAACAAAGAATGAAATTGATTGATATTAGTAGTAATTATTAAAAACTCCACATCTCTAGTCATCTAACAGATGCTTCTTGTTGCACATTAACCTGTATATATTTTGGTACATAAGACTAATCTATGTTTTCTTTATCCGATGCATTAGAAAACCCTAGGAGAGAAGATCCAAGACACAATGGTAGGGCACAGTGGGTTAGGTCCACGTGACCTGCTCTCGCCTGAAAGCGGCAGCCTGGTAAGGCAGCTGGAGGTCAGGATCAAAGAGCTGAAAGGGTGGCTGAGAGATACAGAGCTTTTCATCTTCAATTCCTGTCTGAGACAAGAAAATGAAGGAACAATGAATGCTGAGAAACAACTGCAATATTTTAAGGTAATAAAAAAACAATCATAGTTTTCATAGAGACTCCTCTTTATGGTAGGATAAAATATTTATCTTATACATAAGATAACGCAATGCATGTACATATGTGATCATATATTCATATTTTCACCTTCATTTATGTACTATGTATTCATTCATGTTGATTTTATTGAATCTTTCCAATAATATTTATTCCTTAGACTTTTTGCAAAAGAGAGCTTTAGAGGGCTAATCACACTGCAATCGGAAAAGCAATAGTATTCTTTCATTCTACTTCACCATAAAGCTGAGTTTTGCCATGAAAAGCTTCACTCTGAATTTCACTCCCTACAACGGTTAAATTAATTACTGTGTTGTGTGACCATCAGTTTAATAGCCTGTTTCTCTGCACATATGAGTCAAGAATAGCCTATTTGAAGTTACATTTACTGAGGTGTAAATTTAGCATACAGGAGAAAGCATTCAAGTTTGTGGTAAATAGATATGTGGAAAAAGACATATACACTATGAGATTTGCATTAATCTAGGCCACATCTTAAGCCTAAGACTGAAGATTTATGGAAAGGAGGGAAAAGAGTTGTAGTCACAACGCTATATTCAGATGGATAAGCTCCTTCAACTGAAGGCCAGCATTCAGCTTTGCAAATGACTTAATGGAGGTTGTGTGTTTTGTTCCATTCCCCAAAAGTAGTAGGACCGTTTAGGAAAGAGCACTACTAAGTTGGCAAACAAACCTGGTAGAACCGTGCGATTTTCTTCTGTTCATAGCTATCACTTCTAAATAAACCCTCACCTGAGTCATCATTACAGGTCACTTTACTCTGCAAGTGATCTTTGACCAAAGAATAAGAGAGGAATCACGAGTAATTGTTGAGTTTTAAAGGTAAATAGGTTTTTCTCTTCCACTAGTACATCAGGGTGTCTAGGGCAACAGTACTCTTAAGGTGATGGACAATTTATTAAATACCTACCTCAAAGGGCATGTTGCAAACACTTCTAAGCATCATTCTTATACAAGCGTTCAAGAAAACAACAGCAGAAAAATGAAGCAGTCTTCCCAATTAGTCTTTCCTTAACTCTTCCTTTTCCAATCATGACAATTAGTGAGAAGGTTATGTCAATGTAGATAAAGCTGGTAGGGATTTTTTTCAGGTTCCGGAGACTGTCCATTTGAATGCAATTTTAAGTTTTCTTATGACATCTATATTTTATTTTTTTAATGATTTATGGTCTTCTGCTAATGGGGAAAAAAGTCATGCTGATTCTGTTTGTTCTATTGATCAACTTCAAAGCTAGTGATTATGAAGGACTGTTGATAGACCTGCAGAACTTCACAGCAATAGTTCCATGTTTTCCGTAGGAAATGCTGGATGCTTTTTATTTCTGTGGAAAATTGTGGCATTTATTTAAGTGCATAACTATGGATTTAAAAATCTAATTTCAGACGAAATTGTTTTTAAATATACTTTTTTCTATATATGGCTAAGACATATATATATGAACAGAAATACCATAGCAATGTTACTTACCTATTTGGAATGGGCATAAATCTCTCAAATGAAATCTTTAAATATATTTATATGACATGATGTCATGCCAAGAGCTCTAGAGATGTTAAACAGGATCGTACCACCCACCATGATGTAAATAGAGTATTTCATTGCTCAGTTGATTATCTATTAATTACATAAATAATACATTAATTATTTTCAAAATGGTAGCCATTAGAGTATAAAAAATAATTACCTATCAAATATGGTGAGAGCACATCACTTTGTCATATATATTAAGCCATCTTTGTGTCATTAAATCTGAAATCTACTATAAGTAAGTTTCCCATTCTTCACTGATCTCCTGGGGAAGTGTATAAAAGAGAAAATGGATATAATTAACAATACTGCAATGTATAATACATATGTTTGAGAAAGAACATTTAGAACATTTTCAAAAACATTAGCTATGCCACTAGTAGGAAACCTGCTGGGGTTTAGTTTGACTTACTTTCCACTTAACTTAAGAGTTTAACCTTATTACTGCTTTCACTGTGGTAAGTGAATCATTGTTTCTTAATGGCAATTTATTGTGCTGCACTGTCCCGATTATACACATAGCCACTGTACACAGAGAAACATTTTTAATAAAATAAACTCAACAATGCTGTTGATTTTCATTCCATAATGTTACATTTTAAATTACACTTATGCCTTAGGAAAAACAGTTATTTCATTTTTTAGGTGCTTTCCTTTCATTTTGCAATTGGAGGATGAATTTAATATATAGTTCACATGCAGTTGCAACCCAAGATGAGAACAATGTGGTGGGAGGAGGGGTTGTCAAATTCACTAGTAGGAAATTATTTTAACTTCTTTTATTAAAAATCATGCCATATTAATTTGAATTTTCTTTTTATTAAAGAACGTACTCTGCATTACTTTTGGGATATTGCTGTACACTACTTATACTTAGCATTTCTATAGTACTATCCATTCAAGGAGCTGTACATGCTGTACAAACATTAATGAACTAAGCCCCACTAAACCTTTAAGGTTGGTATTATTATCCCCTTTTTAGAAATGAGGGAAATAAAATGCTAAGATTAAGTCAATTTTCCAGGTTTTCACAGAAAGTCAATGGCTGCATTAGGGTCGAACCCAGCTATGGTGACCCTAATCTTTGGCACTAACCACAAAGCAGTCCCTCCCTCCCTCCCTCCTTTCCTTCCTTCCTTCCTTCCTTCCTTCCTTCTTCTCATATGTGATGAAAAGAGACTACTTCCTTGCATTTACCACTGTTTCTTCTTTATATTCAA